TTCATTAAAACATATAGGTTACATACCACCAAAGGGAACTCTGGTGCGCAACATGGCATTAGGTATACGCGAAGCATCATCCCAACGTTACCTGGAAGCACGCTCCCCTACCACCCCTTACCCCTCCCCATCTTTTGCCAGTGAGCTATCAACAGCATTCAGAATTCTACCACTTATTTCCACCACTAAAATGACTACCAGTGCTTCTTGATAACTGACATTACATACTGAACCGTAACTTACTGTCGACACCAGACATCAGTATGGATATTTTGCAGAGACGCAGAAGTGAGATGTCTCTAAGCTTTGCGGCTGTAACTTTACAGAGCCTGGGATGATCCACAGTTAGCTTGTCAAAATTGTACACATTAAAACTCCGTTAACAGAAATATGCATATTCAAGGTAGAACCGATTTATTATTTACTTTAACGGTAAACAGAAGAAATAGCATAAAACACGGTTTACTCATGCACGGTGGCAATGACACTGTAATCAGTTCGGTGACTGACCAATATCAACGTTTCTACCCCTATCTCACGGGCCTTCTTGAAGGTAGGTCGGTGGTGGCGAAATTTCGTAATGTGGTTTATCGTAAGTAGCAGACGATAGTATAGAAGCCAGAAGGCCTGAACAGCGTTAAGTCAGCAGACATTTTATTCACTTTTTTGGCTTGGTTTAAATTTTTCTTCTCTTAATTAATTTTAGTCAGCATGTCCCTTTGCTCTGTAGTCTCTGTCCCCGGCGGAAATCCGATGTCATAGTTCAGTATGATCTGTGTAACGTGAAGGATTGGACTAGAAATTCGTCCCTGAATCATTCCCTGCAGTCCGCTCTTATTTTCCCTCTTGTTCAAGAGGTAAAATACGAAGTAGGTGTGTGATCTCAGCTGTAGGAAGCAGCAGTACCATGTTTTTCCACTTTTCCCTCTCAGAGTGTAGGAAGCAGTACTGTTCGTGACTAGTAATTCTTCCCTCCCATCAATCCGTCAAAGCCACATATTTTTGCCGCCAGCTCGTCGAGTATAGTTATTATCTAGGACGAAAATTTATATGCTACAACTTGCATTCATCTTAACAAGAAGTACTTCCATGCAAATTGGAGTGCCTGCATACAGCGTTTACCTGTGAAAAAGTATTAAACTAATGGGATTTGAGGCTAACTCGCAGTTTCTACCTCGATAGGTACAGTACGACGAAAATAATTCATCTGCATTAGCTCACAGTGTTAGGCGCTGGATTTATTTTGTGCACTGTGATGATCATAGGCCCGTTTCTAATAGTCCATTAAGGGAAATCTTGTTTTAGTTTCTCATTATTAAAATCAGCCTTTCACAGAAGCTAACAGTCGATTTGCTCTGTGCTGTACCCGTCCACATAGAGTAAGTAAATTATCATTCATTCTCTGATTCGATGAATGCGTTTCGGAGATAAATATGCTGTATAGAGGCATTTGAATTTTTTCAATTTGACGTGGACAAACAATAGAAAAAATGCTTCATTTCGAACATCATTTTGAACAGCGCTACCTGCAAAATGCTTGAAAGAACTGTGACATGTGGCATGAACGAGAAATAGGACAAAAGTTATAGGAGTGTTCGGAGAGGCTGAGGAGATTGGCTTTGGGAAACAGTCGAAAGGAAAGGGAAATGTAAAACATTTGCTGGAACAGTTTATGGATTTGGACGAAATGATAGCCTGTTTAAGTCACACTCATAAAAAATCAGACTCTTTCGCTGCTGAAATTGATTTGGGC